CTGCAATGCCACCTTTGGTGTCCCTCCCTGCTGGGGAGTCCTGCAGTGCCACCTTTGGTGTCCCTCCCTGCTGGCAGCACCGCAATGCCACCTCTGGCCCCTGAGCCGGCCCCAGCTTTTCCCAGACACCCAACACTCCTACATGACAACTCACCAACGGGGCCCCTCTGGCCTGAGCCAGGAGCACCCCCAGCAGTACTTACAGCATGGCAATGCCCCAGTGCTTGCCAGCTCTCTCCCCAGCAGCCTGGAAGCCGGAGAGGCCGATGAGGGCCACAGTGGGGGTGATGGTCAGGGGGCCGATGTAGCGCAGGAGGGCCCCGGGCAGGCCGAGCAGTCCGATCACCACCTCGATCAGGGAGGACATGATGATGGCACCTTGGATCTGAACACACAACAAGGGCAAAGAGCCACCTCAGTCCCCTCTGGCAGGCAAAGCCAAAGCGTTTCTTTTTCTGCTCTGGATTACAAACTGCACTTAAAAAGAATTCAGTGACACAGAAGAACTCAGTATATTTTTCGTCATAAAACAGCTCATTATGTTTAAGTGACTTATTGCTTAAGCATAACACTTATGGTTTGTTTTTTTTCTCCACAAAACTATTACACAACAGACCAGTGGGCCAGTCTGGAAGCTGTGTGGAAAGCACATCACACTGTCAGACAGGAGACCTGGGGTCCAGGCTAACCTTTAAGCTCTCAGATCGAACGGCAAGGGTTGGTGCGCCACGAGGTGATGCTCCTAAAGCTCCTAGGGGCAGAGTGTGTCTGCATTGGTCACAAGCGCTCCTTAGAAGCTGGATTAGAGCAGCGTTGTGGTCTCAGGAGACTGTCAGCCCTCTTGGCTGCAGGGCTCTTGGCAGGATGTAGCTATGGTTTGAACATGGGGAAGAGAGAGGGGTTGTTTTTAATTAAGAAAAAGTTGGCAGCCCAAAGCAACGGGATGGGAGATAAATTCCATGACACACGCCCTCGTTTGGACCTGGCTATCTACCACTCCAGCGTGGTACAACCCTCATCCTGGGCCCTGCAGGGCTGAGAGTGGAGAAGGACTTTGGGGGAGCTCTGCAAGTCTCTTGGGAGAATCAACATCTTATCAGGAGAGTCTCCAACTTAAAAACTCTTGGGGGATGACCCAGCTTTGCTAAACTGTGGGTTCATCTTCCAGGGGCCAGCCCACTGCACAGGGCCAGCAGGCAGCAGGTCTGGCAGCAGCTGAACTGCTGCCAATGAGCACAAAGCAGAGGTACAAGAAGAGTTTTCATCTCACTTGAGCATTTCACTGCACATCTTTTGGAATGTGGTAACTAACTCCTGGTATTTGCTGTCCAGTACGAACAGGTTGGAAAGATGAAAGACTTCCATGAGATGAGTAAAGGGATATATTCAAATGGAAATCGCAGTGAAAGAAGAAATTACCAACTTAAAGACAAGGACACACAGATGTTTGGGTGAGAAACTTAACTGGAACTGGACAGAGGGACAGCTAAAGGCAACTCCCACATTACCTCTCGGATCCGGGGGTACCAGATGTGCTCAGTGTGCGGCAGCTCTCCTGTCCTGTTTGTAACTGTTATATCTTACAGAGAGGAGACAAGAAAACACAGGCATTTATTTATTTATCCCTCAGTCACTCTGCCATCATTTCCTACAAAATAAACCCCTCCTCATGCTGGGTCTGACGAAGGAGCCTGGATTTACACAGAGAACAAGCTCTGCAGTGCTACAAATGAAGTAGCAACAGCCTCACATTCCCCAAGAACCAACCCTTCATTCCACCCACTGCACCAAAGTGGGAACAAATCCTAACTTTCAGGAAGGAAGGTCAATTGGGGATTCCCTTCCCACTCCAATAAACAGATGGAGAATTACTCGAGTGCACACTGGAATCACAGGCTCCAACTCCATCAATTTAGGTCACCCACTGAATGAACTGACCCATGGCAACAACCCCAACTGGCATCTTTTGAAGGTGAAAAGGTCCAAGAGGAAGATGCAGCAAAGCTCTTTTGGAAAGGCTGGAGTAGTGGGAAAATGGCTTTGCCATCCAAGCTTATCAGACAGGATTTTCTTTTGACAAGATGTGTATTCAGTTACTGGCACATCTTGAATGTGAACCAACAGAGATGCTTAAACACATAGATAATATAAATTAAATTATTAGAGAATCCAAAGGAGCCCTGGGAAGAACTTTAGGTAGAAACAAGCAGCATGATTCTCTATGGGGCTGCCTCCCACTGCCCACAGACTTGTTACTGCATAACCACACCCCATTAAAAAGAAAACTGCCAGAGGAGTTTCCACTTCAGTTTCTAACCTAATTTAAAGCCAAACACCCCATCCCAATGAGCTTTACTGCATATTTCCCCTCTGAAGTTAAAACCTTTCAGGATGATGACATTAGCAAAGGAAGAGCTCAAATGAACATCCAAATCTTGTCAAAACCTGTCAGGTATGACTTAAACAGGGAAAAATCCTGGTCTTGAGGTGATGCTGAACATCAAACTTCCTCCTACTCAACTTCAAAGGATTCGACTGAACTTGCTATTTCCAAATATCGGGAAGGAACATTTACGGAATGTAGATGTAACAGAAGAATTACTCTGTGCTACTGTTGGATTTCTTTTGACAACATTTTTTTAATATTAAAAAGCCCCCAGAAATAGAACTCCACAAGGGTATTTTTAGGGATCTTTTTCTAAGGCACAAAGTTTAACATCGTAAAAGGAGAGACTTTTCCTATTCCCTCCTCAGCACTTCCAGTTTCCCCCTCAGAAGGTTTGGCTGTTGCACTTTAAGTGATCTGGGCCATTGGTCACTTCACCCTCAACAAGCACAAACGACAATTACCTGTGTTATTACATTTCCACTTCTCCAGAGACAGTATTGCTCTGGCAGGTGCTAAGAATGCAAAAGCACTGGCTTGGAACAGGGGTAACCTGTTGGAGGGAAAGGAGAGATGGTGACTTTCTGTGGTGCCCCAGCACCGTGGCAGGAGGCGGCTGCAGGCGGGTGGTCACTGAGACTCAAACCCTCAGCGAGTCAGGAAAGTGTGAAATGGGAGAATTCCTCCTCAAACAAACCCAGCCAGTGAAATACTCACAGACTCCCCAAGCCAAAGAGCCAACACCACCCACGTGAAGTTCTTAACCAATCTGCACCGGGTCATTCCAGGCACCAGGGGTTGATGTCAGGTTTTGACTCAGGGCTCAGGGATCCAGATGCACCGTCTGGGGTAACCACCACACAGACTCTGCTGAACAGGCAGCTTTTCCCAGCCCACCACAGTTCACAAGCCCTCTGCAGGGCCAGCCTGCAGGCTCAGTGCCTCCCCTCTGCGTGACTCCAAGCACAGTCACTCAAACATTCATTTTGAAGTGTGTAAATAACTGCGAGGTTGATAAAAGCAGATTAGATGTTCCAGGTGCTTACCACCAATAAATACAAACACTGCAAGAATTTCAAGATGACATTCTTAGCATTGGTGTTTATACTTCCCAAAAGATTTAAGATTGAAAGAGCATCTACCAGGATCAACTACGTGTTTACTGACCTCACTGCAGGTCATGTAACATAAATATGCAGATGTTACTTAACTACAGACAAGGTTCACTTTGAACTATTCTATAAATACTGACAGTAATTGCAATAAGATTCCCTTTAATAGCAGATCTCAAAGTGGAACATACGGTTATTGCCCCTGGGCTGCTCCATGTTATGGCTTTTACAGCCACAGTGAAGCTCCTCGAGGGAGGGCAAACACAGGAGAGGGGACAGAACTGCAGCAGAATCACACAAAAACCAGAAAAGGCTCAAAGGAAGAAAAATAAGTGGAAAAAGTCCTGTACACACTGAACACAAAAAAGATCAAACCAGAAGCATGTTACTAATAGTTGTTAAGTTTACAGGCAGGAGTTGGAGCACCACTGGGAAGCACTTTGGGCCTTGGGCACCCTAAAAACCCACTGAAAACTGCATCAGAAACTCCAACTTCATACAACTCATGAGCCATCCAAGCATGGCTGACTGGATGCAATTCCCCCTGGGAGTCTCTCCAAGCACAAATCCCAGTTTTATCTCTGGGAAGAAAGACATGGTTGGCAGCTCAGTGAATGATTCACCTTATTTTGCAGGTTCATTAAGCAAACTGAGCTGCTGGTGCCCATGGCAAGATCTGCAACACCTGAGACAAGCTGTTACTGCTCCATCCCACCTACACAGCCCTCTGTACCTCCAGAGATCTTGTAAATACACTTTGCAAACACATTCTCCAGTGATGAACTCAGCTGTACTGAGACCTGGGTCCAGATTGTTCTGTATCACATTAAATATCCTGAATAATCAGATCTCAGCACGTCCTGTTTAACCTTTACATGACACAGTTCCAAAAGGACCAGCAGACTCAAAATAGTGGGGTTTTTCCCTAAGCAGGAGGGAAAAAAGAAAAAAAAGGTATTTTGTTTTATTTTTTAATTTTTTACTCTTATTCCTCAAAATCAGCCAACCAAGATCCGTCTCTTTCTGAAGAGACAGCTCCAGTCTGGAATGTGACTTATGGACGTTAAGCCAGGCACCCACTGCTAGTCAGCTGAAGCCCCAAAAGCTTAAAGTCCTAAAGCCTGACTGGGACATCATTTTAATTTCATAACTAAATGATCAAGTTGCTCAGTTTTGGCAGCAGTCCTGTGAGGACGGAGGGGTTTGTGCAGTTAAAGTCATCTGGAAAAGTCTCATTATCCCAACATGTCCCAGGGATGCAGGAGAGCTCAGACAGTGATGGGCACAGCAACAACCCTGAAATCTGAGGTAGATTAAAGCTGGGTTTGATTGTCTCAGTCACTAATTACCCTCGATCCCTGCCAAGGCTCCTGGCTCACCCCACAACCTGGGGAATAGCTGGAATTCCTAAAACCAGGCTGGGTACCAAACTGACCACAACTCTGCCTCATAACTGAGCTAAATCCTTCTGTAAGGACCTTTAAACCATGGAATTTGACCTTCTGAAACCTTTATTTGCTGAAATACTTTGCAGTTGACAGACTTGCCAATGAATACTTTAAAATCTCATTTAAAGGCCTTTGCTGCTATATCCCATTCCCAGCCTTACATAAACCCCCAATCACATGGTAAATAGTTATAAAACAGCCAAGCGTGGAGATTTTCTCCTTAAATACAAGTTATTTTAAGGCCTAAACACAATTGCCTTCAAGTATATAAAAAAATGTAACTCCAGTGCAAGTGGGAGCCACTGAAAAGGGGAAAATCCCAACAGATGGAGGGCAGGGGTGGGATTATACACAAGGAACAGAGAATTTCAATATGATGGGACCATCAGTTTAGTCCTTTTATTTCTGAAAGAGCCCAAAATAACTCATTAAGTAATAAAGGAATTAAAAATAAAATTAATAATTTTTAAAAAATAAAATAGAGAAAAAGAAATTAAAAATAAAATAAAGTAATGGTAAGTAATAAAGAGCCAAAATTAACTAGGGGGAAAAAAACTGAAATATGACAAATGTGAGGAGATAAAGTCTCAGGAAACATGAAAATTAAGCTTTTCTGAAAAATCTGAGACAGAGGAAGAAAGCTAGTAGGGGTAGAGGAAAACAAAGGCCCCCTCTGAGCTCATCCCCATCCACAACTTTGCACTTCCAACACAACTGGAAGGTTTTAAACTTCAAGAAATCCAAGGAGGAGACACTCAAAGCTGAACAATTAAACCTTATAACCCAATTCCTGCCTGGGTCCACAATCCCTCCACTCCCTTAAAAAAAAAAAGGACAAATCGAAGATGGGAGGAAAATCCATCACTCCCATGGGAAGGGAAATTCAAATCAGCAAGGGGAACAACTCTGCTCCTCCAGGAGAGCTGCTGGAGGGTTTGTGGTTACAGCACAAAGAGCCAATTGGGCTGAAAATACCACTGTTAACTCTGGGGAGTCTTGACTTAAAATATATTGGGGAAAGAAAATTTTCTCCAATTTCAACAATTTTCACTACGTTGTTTTGTCATCAGAATGAACTTTTTACTCAAAATACAGGAGTGATCTCCTGAGTTGAGTAAGATATAAAAAAAAATATAGGGAAGGTTGGGTTTTTTTTAAGGAAAAAGAACAGACAGCAAATCAAAGTTAACTAAAATAGCAATCAAAGACTACACTGGAAAACCCGAAATATTGGGCAAATTTTTAGATGAAAATCTGATCTACCACAGGCTTGGCTTCTGCACCCCCTGAGACACCTCTGACACCCAAAAATCCTGGTTCTCAGATAAATCTGGGAAAATGTGGGAGGTGTTTGGCCACTTGCTGTTGGAACTAAATGGCCCGTGAATCATTCAGGGAAGCATCTGAGGGAATCCTCTTAAATATGCACTTTGTTTCTGGTTTTCCTTATCACTCTTGGTTTATCCTCCTGAATAACATGCAGAAGTAACTCCATAGGTTTTAGTTATTCCCAAAGTTTAAATAAACACATCTAACATCTCTGCAGTGATCACTGTGGAACACAGGTTTTTAAAGAAGATTTATCTTCATGTTAATAAAACTTACAACATCCTGTCCTTGCCAACACCAGATTTATCCAAGCATTTGCCAAGTGGGCTCTTGTTTCCTCCTAAGGAGAGGTGAAGGCATCCCTGGAAAGCTACACCTTTGTGTGTGGGTACTCCTAACTCCAGGCATGATCATGACCTGCAACTCAGAGCAACTAACAAATAAAACCAAATTATCTGATGCACTGGAAGGTAACAGAGCCTCAGTTCAGAGAATTACAAGTTACCCTCATCATCTTTCCCCACCTTTTTAATTTACCAAGCCCTTTACAGGATCAAGGATGTAATTTGGTGCAGGACTGATCACAACCACCTTAATATTGGAAAGAATAAAATATCATTCAAGAAACAAATAACAACTATATAATAATACCCAAATTAGTTGCTCTTTACCATGGTGTATGAATTTTTCCTTTTCCCCAGAAACACTTCTGCCTTCTCTGTTCTCATGAGTTTCCCTCCTCCTTCTCCTGTTTCCCTGCTGTATTTTCTTACCCTTGCAATGCCCTTTGTTATTTCAGATCCACCTTTTTCTGGGAGCAGCTTTCTAAAGCTTGCCCTGTATCTGACCTATCTTGTGTCTCATGTTTATCCTTTGAAAATACATCTCCTCCCTCTTGGATCTTGGAAACCTCAACGCGAGCCCGGCCTTACCACCACCCCAGCAAGCCCCAAACCTCACCTGCAGCCAAAGGTTGTTTGTAACAACGTGGTGATGCCCACACAGAAGAAAATGGTCCCAATCAACTGGCTGGTGGCCCACTGGTCAAAGCCCACACACATGGCATCGGCCAGCAGGAAGGGCACGGCGATCGTCCCGCTGAAGCACGTCAGGTAGTGCTGCCAGAGGCAAAAGCTTGGTTAATTCTGCACCCACTGCTCAAAAACAAGTTTATTTATCACCAGCTTTTCTCTTGCTTTGGATATTTTGAATTTCCACCCAAGATCTCTCCCTGGTCCTGAGCTTTCCGTCAAATATTTCTTCAAATATTCTCCCCCAGCTACCACTCGCCAGTTGCTAATGATCCCTGGTTTTGTAGCATAAACCAGGTTATTTAAATAGCTGCAGGGCTGCTGCTCTTGAGCAGGAGGTATCCAGGTAACTGTGCTGGAAACAGAGAAAAGCACAGGAATAGCTGCATTCACTTGCACCCATGTGAAAAACCCTCTGCTCACAAATGAACCCGGAGCACACACAAAGCAGGATGCAAAGGAGCTCCCAGGGAGCAGAAACCAGGCACTCATTGGTTCCTTCTCAACATGAAGCAAAACAAACAAACAAACAAATTCACTGTATTGAGCAAAGCAAGTAAAAATAGAATTCCCCCAGGACTGCCTGTCCTTGAGGAAAGGAGAAATAAAAAGGATGCTTTGGAATGTATTTGTTTGGAGAGCTCAACGTGTTTTACAGATATTACCAAATTCCCAGCATTCCTGTGGGACAGACATTATTACCACTGGAGAAAAGAAGGAGATGAAACTGGAGCTGTTCTGCTTCCCACAAGTGAGGGGCTGAGGTGGCAGTAGGGTCCAGCTCTCTACTACAGCCTTACTCACTGCAGGAAGCACATGCTCTTACTCCAAGGATTCTCCAAGGAACACAGAAGTTTCCTGCTCTGCTTCCTGGCAAGACAGGCCCACAATGATGTCCTTAAGACTTGAAATCACTACTAGCAGCTTTAATATTCAAAATTTCAGGACTAAACCATCATCTCTCTCTATCTTTAATTCCAGAAGTGCAAAATGTCACTTCTCAAGGTCTCCACTGAGTATTTGCTGAAAAAACTACTCAGAATTGAAGTAACTACAGTAGCAGCTTTAATATTCAAGATTTCAGGACTAAACCATTATCCCTCTCCATCTTTAATTCCAGAAGTGCCAAATGTCACTTCTAAAGGTCATCACTGAGCATTTCCTCACTTACTTACTAACAGCATCTTATAAGACTAAATATTTGAGTGAATCTCACAAATGCAGGAGCAGAAAACAGATCATTATCAACACAATGATCTCAGTGTGTGATCAGCTTTAGAAGAAGCCTCTTAACACCTTCTTCAAACACCCGAGAGGGCGAAGAATAAAATTATCACACACACAAATGGAATGAACTGGGCAGAAAATACTGAACAAGCTTTAGAAGGTACAGAGGGAGAATTAACCCCTGGTTTGGAACATACCTGTAACCCCAAAAATATGCAGAGGTACCAGGGAGGAACATCCTCAATGGTGTAAATCATGTCAGTCCTCTGGGCGTCCAAACTGCCGCTGCTGTCCAGGGTCTCTGCCAGGGAGCTCTGGGGGGTGGCACACAAAGGACACAGCAGGTTATTGCTCTGCACAAACAAAGTGAGGCTGAACTGTCAGGCAGCTCCCCATACTCCAAGGCTGGGCCAACACTCCCAAACAATGCTGGTACGTGACATTTTTAAAGCCTTTTACCTCTGACGAGCTCAGCTCCAGTTCCTGAATTTGCCCTGAACGTGTTCCCTGCTGTCAGCCATCCCCTGCTTATTGACACAAGTGACTTATTTATAGTTGCTGATTTATCACAGAACTGATCTGGCAGCCAAAAGGTGACCAAAAATGGCATAATCATGACAAGACTGTTAAAAAAAACCAAAACCAACAAACCAAAACCACAAAACCAAACAAAAAAAGGCATTAGGGAAGAATTGGATCTAAGTAGAAGAGCCACCAGTGGCTGCTCCCAAAGCAGAAGGGCTCTGTCCTTGCATAACAGACCAAAATGACAGACAAAAAAATTCCTCATTATGGTAATTCTTACCCAATTCCATCTTGGTTAACCTTTTTTAGCCAAAGGATTTATTATTTTGGCTTCCACCCCACATTCAAGCAGTCAAGAAAAATGCTAATTATTATAACCAAACACATCCCCAGCCAATTCATGTCAGACTTCCCCTAGGAATTTAAATCCCTGCAGGAATTTCAGTGAGACCACACTCTGCCCCACCACACGCCCAGAGGGCCAACAGACAACTGACCACATATATTCACACATCCACATCCCTGTGGGTTTTCCACTAAAACAAGATCCAGCTCCATCATTTCTCCTTCAGAACTATGGAGAATCATTTCCTTCCAACCCTCCAGTTTGGGAATTCCTGAGAGCAAAACCACACTGCTCCAAAGCCCCAACACAACAGTAAAAGCAGGAGGAAGTATCAGGTTTTATCATTATCAAGAAACCAAAAATCCCCTTATGTAAGAACTGTTCTGCCCTAATCCACACCAGGACACAACAAGCCCACGTGAAGTTGCCTCACACCAAGACTGGGAGTTCTGCCAGACCTGTGACTGCCTCAGATGGTCTTCACTTCTCCAGAAATCCCAACATATCCACAGGTCACACTTAGGGAACCTCCACTGTGGATCACCTACAAGGCCAGGGAAGCCAAACTGCCTCCTGGTCCTTCCCTCTCACCTCAGTTTTCTGTTGGGAAAACAAGTGCCACTGGGATAATTCTCCTGACCACAGGATTATGGAGAGGTTGGGGGTATTGCAGTGGAAAAGTAAAATATAGGAACACTAATCTCAGAAAAGTCTTTTAAACCACATTAAGCACCAGGCAATCCTCTCACCAGGATATAGGTCCTAAACTGAGGAATTAGGGAAACTGTTCCCTGCCCAACCCATCGGGTCAATTTGCAGCACCACTGACACTCTTTCATCAACTGAAACATGAATTTTTTCTCTCCTGACACAGTTCTCTAAAAAACCCTGAAAAAAATCCTGAAAAAAAATCCTGAAAAAATCAGGAATTTGAACTATAGAATCGTTAAGGTTGGTAAAACTTGTAATATCATCAAGTCTAACTGTCAACCCATCACCAGCACCACGTTCCACCATGTCCCCAGCTGCCACACTGGCATGTTTTTGGAATGCTTCCAGGGACGGCAACTCCACTGCTTCCCTGGGCAGCCCCTTCCAACCTTTAACAACCCCTTCCTTGAAGAAATTCCTCCTGTTGTCGAATGTGAACATCCCCTGGCACAGCTGGAGGCCGTTCCCTCTCCTCCTGTCCCTTGTTCCCTGGGAGCAGAGCCCAACCCCCCCTGGTTCCCCCCTCCTGTCAGGGGGTTGCAGAGCCAGAAGGTCCCCCCTGAGCCTCCTTTGCTCCAGGCTGAGCCCCCCCAGCTCCCTCAGCTGCTCCAGAAACCTTCACAACCCTGCCAAGGATGGACAGAAATGGGACTGCCAAAGTTCATGCTGTTCCCACGCAGGATACCAGGTTGTCTAAAACCCAGTCAGAGATTTGTGCAGGTTGGTGACTCTGGACTTTGGAAAACCCTTCTTTTGAGCTCTTTTCCAGCTTGGCCAGACCAGTATCCAGAAGCTGTCCCAGTGTTCCACTTGGTGCCAAACACTTATTTTTCTTCACTGGACTGATGAGGTTGCATCAAGTGCATTCCTTAACTTTTCCAGTTGCCCTTCTAGTCTACCTTATTCTAGTCTACCCTATCCTAGTCTATCCTATTCTAGTCTATCCTACCCTAGTCAGTCCTAGTTTAGTCAGTCTTAGTCTATCCTCCCTCTTCTTTGGGCAGCAGAAAGCAGAAGCAATGGCCTGTTTCTACCAGGAAGGCCACAGCACACACAGCAAGGGTATTAGTCCTTTCAGAGCTTTCCACTTGGGATTACATTATTCCTAAATTAGTCTTGCAAAGAACAAAAACCAGGAGCAGGCACAAGGGAGTTGCTCTGTGGCACGGAGAAAGGTCTCTCTGGGTACAGATCAACAAGTGCCAACCAACTCAAGCTCTCCTTTAGAAAGTGAAGGTTACAGGTCTTCTAACAAAAGAACTTCCAATTTCCAAGGCATAAATGTCATGGCAATGTCTACACAGTAAAGGGGTTGTATAAAGAAACAATCAGGATACTCCTCATTCCTTCCAAAGCCAGACTTAGATCCCTTTGGACAGGGAACTCTCACCTTGGTCAAACCCTGAGCAGACCAAGCCTGAACAATGAGGAACTGCAGAACTCAGGTGAGGCCTGGCCATCCCAGTAACTCACGGGGCAGTCACTGGCCCTTTGGCTTCTCCAGCATGTGCCTGCTGGTCTGTCCCTGACTCAGAGCTGGTGTTTGCCAAGTGTGCCAAGGGAACTGCTGGGAATGAGCTGCACCTCCCTGGACAAGATACTGATCACAGGCTAATTCCTCCTTTAATTATTTTTAACTGGCCAAAGGTGGAACATGCTGTGCTTTTATTTTTTTTAATTTTTCTGGTAAGTATAAACAGGGGGGATGAGACAGATAACGTTGTAGAAAGAATGCTGGAGGGAAAGAAGAAACCCCACAACAATCGAGTGCAAATGCAAAGAAACAAACCCCAGCAGTGCAAGACAAAGGCTCTGATGAGAAAACTGATGAAGTGTGGGGAGTAAAGCCTTTGGAGAAACACCTTCAACAAAGAACCCACAACAGAGCAACCTGGTCTAGGGGAAGGTGTCCCTGCCCGTGGCAGGGGGTGGAACTGGATAAGCTTTAAGGTCCCTTCCAACCCAAACCATTCCAGGATTCTATTAAGCAACATCACATTGCTTATTTTACAGGGATGCAGCAACACTTATTTCTCATTTGGGCTCACAGTTTACTGTCTCAGCTAACAAATACTGGGAGCCAATGTGAGCACTGGGCACCCTCCAGTGATTAAGGACATTTCAGGCCTCTTTGCTAAATTATAAAATATATAAAAATTATAAAAATATATTTTTATAATATAGAAATATATAAAAGGCCTTTATAAAGGCCTTTTGTTAGGGAATGATCTCTCAAGAGAAAGGAAAGCCAAGAACAAACACAGAATCACAGAATCCTGGAATGGTTTGGGTTGGAAGGGACCTTAAAGCCCATCTCATCCCACCCCCTGCCATGGGCAGAGACACCTTCCACTAGCCCAGGTTGCTCCAACCTGGCCTTGGACACTTCCAGGGATGGGGCAGCCACAGCTTCTCTGGGCAACCTGTGCCAGGGCCTCCCCACCCTGTTCATTCCCTGTGACCACAACAAAGCTTTAAGTCAGGTAGATTTGGTTGCTCAAAAGCTCATGGGTCTCTCTGAGGTGAATTATTCCCCATCATTTACAGTTCTGACCACATGGATCAACTGGACAGCAGAAAAAACACGCATTTGGTAAAACCAGGCCATGAAGACACGGTTTGGTGTCTGGAGATCGCTTATCTTGGTTGCACAATTTCACCCAAACACCTTTTGCTCAGGGCTTTATCAGATTGTCTCTCTCCACTCCAGTCCAAGCACGCTCCAAGTATCAGCCATCACAGACATGCAGGTCAACAGTTGCCAAAATCTGTCCACTGAAGATCAGCACGACCACGATGGTCACAGAGATGTGTTTGAGACACGCGGGTGTTCGTAACATTCTTCTGAAATGCACCACTAAAAGACCTCTGGAGAATCATCTATTTAGGGGTATTTTAAATTTGAAATTCAGAGGACAATTTTGCTGTCTGAGTTGGAAAACCCCCACTGCACCCCTTGGTATCATCCTTGCCCCATCACAAGTTACAGCCTCACACAGATGAGCACCAAGATGCTCTTTTTTGGAATCAGGAGAGCTCTGGTCTTGTTTCACTTGGGACACTTGAAAAATTAGGTCAAGTTGATGTTTTTCAGAGACAAGGCTTCACCACAAAGCCAGCTGGAGTATACATTTCAGAAAGTGCTGTTCAGATTTACCATAATCCTCGTCCTTATTTTAAATAAAAGCTCAGATTCAAAGCATCTCAGCTGGCAGGATTCTTACTGAACAGGCTTAGGGGATGATGGAATGGAGTAAAAAGCTGGAAAAATCACAACCAAACTGGTGTCCTTTGAGGCCTCAACTGGTCTCTCTGAATAGGTGAAACACAGTCATAGTTTTCCCAAGGAAAAAAGTTCAAGGGTTTTTATGACCTCGAGTTCATTCATAAAGCTGCCACTCAATAATAATGAGCAGCCTCTAGTTGGAAAAAGGACTAGAAAAATTAATCTTATGAGGCTGGAGCTTGGAAGAAATTGGGAGAGTGGGAAAGATCCTACTTTTAGAGGTGTTCAGCACCACCAATCTCCCTGGAGAAACGCAGAGGAGGTTAACAACTGATGAGCACAGCACAGTGACCTTCCCAGGGAAACCACGCAAAAGGCCAGTGGGAATGAAGAAATCAAAAACTTGCATATTATGAATTCTGGTGCCAGGTCAAAGTGCATTCCCTGCTGCCATCCCCTGAGTCATGCCCCGTGTTCTGCAACCACAGTGTGTGACCAGAGCAGTCATGGGGCCAAACCACCCCGAGCCTGACGTGAGTCTGGAGTCAGCACCATCTGCTGAGACAGGAAATCACAGCCACGTGGAACTGGGGTGGGCAAAGAATGAACTGAGACAGCAAGAACCAGTCCTCACCTACAAGGGAACCATCACATACCTTCTCTGCTATGCCATTTTCTGTGGTATAGATGGCCATCAACTCTGTGTCTTCTGTATCCTGGTCACCGCTGGACGTTGCTCCACCGTTTATCACAACCTTAAAAACACAACAAATAGCAAACACAAGGTCTTAAAATAAACACTTTTTGCAATCACACCTCGTGTCTCTCAGTTTTCTCCCTTGGTAATTGCCATCTGCCTCTGACATTGTCAGAAAACATGACAAGCACGGCAAGTCATCATTTCTATAACAGCAGGTCTGGGGGGAGAGAGAGGCTTGAAAGACATCACATGGAGCTCCTCAAGGACATCACACAGAGCTCCTCAAAGACATCACAGAGAGCTCCTGAAAGCCTGTGCAGTGCCAGCTGGGGGTGGGGGGAACCAGCAGCAGACTGGTTGGAAGAGTTCTCCAACAGAACATCTGAGTAAGTAGAAAAAGAGAAGCAAATGTTTCCTTGCTGTTGTCTTTTACTCTTAGTTGAGCAACTCAGGACATGCTGGTTGACGGGGTTGAACGTGACCCCAGGGGTGCCCAGGGGGGCAGGAGGCCAATGGCCCCTGGGCTGTCCCAGCCATGGGGTGTCACAGCCCCAGGGCAGTGCCCGTCCCTGTGCTGGCACTGCCGAGGCACCTCCAGGGCTGTGTCCAGGGCTGGGCCCTCAACAAGAGACACTGAGGGGCTGGAGGTGTCCAGGGAAGGGAGCGGAGCTGGGAAGGGGCTGGAGCAGCAGGAGCAGCTGAGGGAGCTGGGGGGGCTCAGCCTGGAGCAAAGGAGGCTCAGGGGGGACCTTCTGGCTCTGCAACTCCCTGACAGGAGGGGGGAGCCAGGGGAGGTTGGGCTCTGCTGCCAGGGAACAAGGGACAGGAGGAGAGGGAACGGCCTCCAGCTGTGCCAGGAGAGGGTCAGGTTGGACATCATGGAAAATTTCTTCACTGAAAGAGTGTTTAAACACTGGAACAGGCTGCCCAGGGCAGGGGTGCAATCCCCTTCCCTCAAGGTGTTCAGAAATCAAGCAGACTTTGGGACATACGTGGTGGGATTTGGTTAAAGGTTGGGCTTGATGATCTTGGAGGTGTTTTCCAACCTTAATGATTCCATGATTCCATACCAGGGGCTCGTGCTCATGCTGCAGGAGGACAGGTAACTGCTCCAGTCCTGCAGTGCCTGAGGTGCTGCCTGTCCTGGGAGCAGCCCAGCTGGGAGCACACAGGGAACACCCACACTGGGTAATTGGCCGTGTTTCCATGTAAACACCATCCAGTGGCAAAAGAGGTTTGTTACCAACTGCTTGTGGCAATGAGGGGTTTGTACAACATGATTAGAACATTATGGCCTGATTCCCACTGAGCCTGACTCCGTGGAGCTGGAATGTGGTACTTACAGGCAGGGTGAAGAAGGTGGGATGTTTGGATTCATCCTCGTATTTGCCCTCTGAGGAGCCTCCTGCCTCCACCGACTTCGAGGTGGTGTTTTTGCCAATCCCCATCGTTTCCAGAATGTCCAGGACTTGCATTCAGCACCCAAACGGATGCTGCTGGGATGAGAGGCCAAGGACTGAGGACAATTCCTTATGTGAACAGCAGCACCTCCAGTTATCACCAGAGTTCTCAGTAATCCAGCTGGGACATCAGGGTGTCGTTGGCATCAATGGCTCCTGGAATTGAAATGGATATTTTTACTCCCTAAGAGCTGTGTACATTCACACCACCCCACAGCCTGGGCTCCCTTTCACACTCATGACTCACCAGCTCTCATCAATCCTCCCCAATAATTAACAGACTATCATTTAGATATAAAGCTGAAGGTATTTTAAATTCTTTCAGGATAGGAATACTGTGATTATTTTCTCATTCTTCTCTTGTGATCTTCAATCATTAGTAGCAAATTGAAACCTTTGGTTTTTTCCCATTTTGCAGCCATTTCCATGGAATTTTTTGGGAACAAAGTACACCTGTACTCCAGGTAAGGAGCAGAGTAGAACAGCTGAACACCCACTGCAGACAGGACTTGGGCTTTCTCAAGGAGTGTACATTTGCAGTTACCTCTGTAACTGAATCCTTTTTCTGGAAATAACTCATTATTAAATAAAAGAATCCAGGGAGCTCAGACCAGATGGACAGTGAAGGACCTGCCTTTCAGTGAGTCTAATTCAGACAGAAACAGCTCTTTCTGCTGAACATTCCCACCCGAAATTACCCCCTTCTGCTGAACATCCCCACCCAAAATTATCCCAGTTGTTCGAGGGATGTTCCAGGTCATCTGCCTGATGATGTTGAAGCAACAGCTTCAGGATAAACTGGTGCATTTTAATTAGTTTCACTACTCTTTTGGCACAGGAACAGGAAGATCTTACAGCCCACAATTCCCTTTTTGTTTTCCCAGATGGATCACTACAGTACAGTTTTCCCCCATTTGCTCCTTAAATTAGCCCTCCCTGCCCATCATCATCCACACATGTGCCATTTCCAGGACTAAAGAATAGCATTTAACGGATTTAAACATAAACTTCCTGCAGGACAGCACAGAAAATTCTGCAGCAAAGCAAGTTTTGCAGCCTGGGGTTCCTGAGCCTGAAACAGAAAATGAAGCCACAAACACCTGTGGGTGAAACCAGCTCAGATACAGGTGAAAGTACAGGACAGAACCTGAAAAATGGCCTTTTAAAAATCACAGAAAGTGGAATTTTCTGCAGCAAGAAGCACATTGAAGCAGCAAAACCCACTGCACACAGGGGTTACTTCAAAAGTAAGGTAATGACACGTTCAAGTAAATCAACAGAGGTGGAAATGCAGCTGATGGACACTCAAAAACACAGTTTGGTTTATATTAGAAAGAAAAAAAAGTAGGGTTTAGGTTTTTTCCTTAAGTTTCCCTTCCAAATGCTGCTCAGGAAATGCCAGCAGCTCCTGTCTATTGTAATTGCAATAATAACTAAACCTGACAAAGATTCTTCCAACAGTGGTATTTTAGAACCTCTTAATAGCTGTTAATTGCCCATTTGCTAGAAAATTCTGTTTACTTGAGGTGAAAGACATGTTAAATCTTTCAAAGCAATGTAACTTTTCTGGAGAGAAAATATACCTATACAAGACTATGTGGGCACCAGGACAGCCTTGAAGCCTTAATTAAATCAAGATGGGATGAAAGGCAGTGCCTGCAAATAAGGGTTAAAACTTGTTTATTAAAGTAAATATTAAGTAGCGTAATTATTTATTTCTCACTTAGACTTAAAACTGAACTGGTTTGAATACTCACTGTCTTGTTACTCTGGAAAAAACGGTCATTCCCATTTTTACAATGACCACAGATTTCCTCTTCAAAGTGCAGCTGAGGGTGGAAAAGAGACAGGTCCTGGTTAAGGGTTTGGGGGCACTGAGGGATCTGGGCTGGGATTTCTGGAGGGGTTTTGTTTGCTTTTACTGTGGAGCCACGAGGGGGTTTTTTCCAAGCACAAAAGAACAAAAGACTTTGCCTTTTTCTGTCCATGTTGACTTATTTTATTCTCCAAGAAAATCAGTGATGGAGACAGGCAAGGTTTAGTCTGGCAGCTTTGTCGGGTGGGATTGGGAAGGGAAAGGGAAAAGGCAGCAGGACACCTCCCTAACCAAGGCCCCAGGCCAAGAAAACCCCAGAGCGAGGAAACCTGCCAGTCACGAGATGTGGTTTCAGGTCCTCTGGCACCATAAGCTGCTTAGCTGGCATTAACCAGCATCTCCACTGATAAAAGACCCTATAATCCCATTTTACTGTGCACTGCAAACCAGCAGCACTGCCATCTCCTCCAGGCTGGGATCACGCCTCAGGAACTGGCCTGGAGAATTCCACCAGGAGAGCAGCAAGGCTTGCCTTGCATTAATTGTTGAGAGCTGATACACAACAGCTAACCCAGTGTTTAGATGAAGGTTCCCAATCAAGCAACTCCAAATTTACAAACAATTGCTGCTTTTCCTGCAGAGGGGAGTGTGTGTGTACACGTGGGTGTCACGTGGGTGCTCCAAGAAAAACCAGGAGAACAAATTTCTCAACTCTTCTTGCTTCTGCTCAGCAATTAAACTTGCACTTAATGGCACAGATGATAATCAGATTTTTGTAATACTTTTATTCTGTGATCAGGAGTGTCAAAGGGAAACAGAAATCAAGAGGTAGCAGATGAGGTCATCTGAGATATCCTTCCTTATCAGCCCTTGGGTCCCACCAACCCAGCTCAGCTACACATGACTCAGACATTTTTATAGCCTCTGTAGCAAATCCAACTCTCAGAAGCTGAAAAGTCATGGAAAAAGAGATAAAACTCATTCATAATCATAGAATCAGCTGAGTTGGAAGGGACCTCTGAGATCAAGCCCAACCCTTGATCCAACCCCGCCGTGGTTCCCAGCCCATGGCACTGATGCCACATCCAGGCTCAGCTTAAAAACCTCCAGGGATGGAGAATCCACCCCTTCCCTGGGCAGCCCATTCCAATGGCTGAGCACCCTCTCTGCAAAGAAATTCTTCCTAATCTCCAACCTAACCCTCCCCTGGCACAGCTGAAGACCGAGCCCTCTTGTCTTGCTGATGGTTGCCTGGGAAAAGAGCCCAACCCCCAGCTGGCTCCCCCCTCCTGTCAGGGAGTTGCAGAGAGTGAGGAGGTCTCCCCTGAGCCTCCTCTTCTCCAGGCTGAACAGCCCCAGCTCCCTCAGCCTCTCCTCACAGCACTTGTGCTCCAGTCCCTTCCCCAGCCTTGTTGCTCTTCCCTGGACCTGCTCCAGCCCCTCAATGTCCTTCCTGAGCTGAGGGCCCAGAGCTGGACACAGCACTCCAGGGGTGGCCTCACCAGCGCTGAGTCCAGGGGTAGAATCACTTCCTTGGACCTGTTGGCCACACTGTTCCTGAGCCAGGCCAGGATCCATTGGCCTTCTTGGCCACCTGGGCACACTCTGGCTCCTGTTCAGCTTCCTGTCCATCCCCACTCCCAGCTCCCTTCCTGCCTGGCTGCTCTCCAGCCCCTCTGTCCCCTGTCTGTAGTGCTGCATGGGGTTGTTGTGGCCAAAGTGCAGGACCCAGCACTTGGCCTGGTTGAACCTCATCCCGTTGGAATCAGGCAGGTACACACTGTAAAATGAATTATCAGCAGCCTGGATCAAATGGAAAGGCTGGAAGTGAAATCAGGACACTGATTAATTTTCACCTTTCTGAACCAAACTACCTCCAATGTGATTAACCCAGGAAGGCCAAAAGCTACCAGGGTTTACAGGGCTGAAGATAAGATTAGGATTTAGACTAAGAGCAGGGGATAGTCCAGATGGAAGTTCACGAGGAAAACCCTTCTGGGCAGGGAAAGGCTCCTCTGCATCCTCAACACTTTGTGCCTTTTCTCCAGCACAAACCTCCTTCCAGGTTCGGAGCCATCAGGAGGGAACACAGAGCGGTGGCAGTGCCTGAGCTGACACAACATCATCCTTTTTACATTTCCATGACCCTACTGACGCCAGTTTTCCCTTTTACCAAGGTTGCTCCTATTTTGTTTGAACAAGTTACAATGCATTTCTAAGTCCACAGAAAGAAAGAAAGATGAAGCCCATCAGAGATGCAGATGTACAAGACTGTAATTGAACATATTTTTTCTTGCTGCACCTTCTGCCTCTGAGTTTCTGCTCTGGAACCTCTGTTACAAATAAAAGCTTCTACTGGAGAGCACAGCAAAGGTTTTCCTACAGGAAAATCTGCTTATGTGCCAAGCCAGGTTGCACAAAAATTTTCTATCTCACAGGTGAGTCTGTCTACAAAAATCAACTGAAAACTCATCTCAGTAGATTCAAGGCTTAGCTTGGGCAGGACAGAAGGTCCTGATATAAATAAAGGGTTTATTACCATGGAAAGGAGAACCGGTCATGAACTCTTCAAAGGAGGAGGCAACTGTAATACAGACACCTTCTCCCTGTGTGCACTGTTTTCTTTAAAAGCAGCAGAATTTGATATAGGTTTTGGCTGAACCACACTACAAATATTCCCTAAATCAGATTTGCTGTGATGGCAGTTCATCTCCACAGTGCTACGTGTGAAGATCTTTAACATTTGAATCCAGAGCTTGGCAAAGCAAAGACTGGGGAAACAAAAAACCACCCTGAGACCTGCAGGCTGTGACATTCTTGGGGCAGCAGCAGGTTGCTGGGGCTTTTCTCTCTGTTTGGGTTGGTTTGGGTTTTTTTTAGACATCCTTTAGAAGGGCCAACACTCTGCCAGGTGCTGTGGGCCTGGCAGCACCAGGACTGGGCAGCAGAGCTGGGTTCAGGACATGTCAATACTGTAAAGCTCCTCTGCAATAAGCAGACCTAGGGATGAACCCTTTGGAAGAAGCTCAGCCTGGAGCTCAGGCTCCTCCATGACTTCCAACCCTGAAATCCCTGGTTTTCCAAGGTGTCAGGATGATGCAGGTATTCTTACCAAAAAGCAGCTTTAAGTATTTCCTTCTTTGCCAAACTCAAACCGAAAACCTTCTAAAACCATGAGGCTCTTTCCAATTCCAAGTGGACTGAGGCTCTCCACACAGTGTCCACCAAAATACTTCAGACTTTCCAGGTGGATTTGAGCAGCTGTTTGAAAGGCCAGGAGGTTGCTGACTCAACACAAACCCAGCAGATAAGGATGAACAACATCTGAGCACAACTTGAG